TGGACCGCACCGCGCAGCTGGCTGCTTCCGCTGCCGCCGTTTGGCGAGCCCCGCTGTCCCTATCTGGATGTTACCTAGGGCTGGGGCAGCTGGCACGCCGCTTTGGGTAGAGCAAGGGGGATTTCCGTGGTTCAGACCTGAGGTGTCCAGGCGTCCAGAGCCCCTCTCTAGGGCTCTCTGCTCCTTGGAGGCGGGCGGTCAGCTGCGGAAAGCCCCTCGCTGCGGGTGCTCTTCCCTTCATGGGAGTTCTTCCTTGCCATGACCAGGCACCTCTGGCCTTGCCCCCTGGGCTGGGGAAGTGAGCTGGAGTTGGTGAGGAGCCATCGCTTGGTGGTCTTGGTGGTCGAGCTCTCCTCTCCCATTTCCGCCATTCCTTGGCCCCGAGAACCCTTGATTCGGGTGTGGGGATCCGACTCCCTGCTGGTTTCTCTCCCTCCACTCCCATCTCCCCTTCCACCTTTGTTTTCCTCCTTGGGTCAGGGAGTCTGGGCCATTGTTGAGACTCACCTCCCTTCCCCATCCAAAGCCCGGCTGGGCTGCGGTGCTCTGGCATTCTGCAATCATTGGTTTAAAAAATGCTCAAGTACTTTTAAAGCTGGCCAAACCTATGGGAGTGTGCTGTCATAATCCGCCGAGAGGTCTTCGGGCACCCAGTGGCGGTGGCTGGAAGGGATTTGAGTATTCTGTGCGTCTGGTGGAGACAGCAGGACTTCTAGAAGAAGGGATGAATTGCTGGAAGGTCCCATGCTGTGACCTGGGTTCGGTGGGCAGGAGCCTCGGTCTTGAGTAGTGACAGCGGGGAGGAATCTGGGGTGGGGATGTCGCTGTCTGGAAGTTACTTGAGCAGCCTGCAGTAATTGGCACTGAGTTACTCGGGCATCTTGTGGTAATTAACGGGAAGGTACTCAATCTCTCTCTCTAATGGCCCTAGGGGGACCAGGAGGAGAGGAGATGGCCTTGTCTCTGTGTAGGCCTAGGTTTCTGCCTGATGGGAGGGGGCAGGAGGTCCGCACTGTCACCCCTGGTCCTGTATGTTCGTCACCGGGGCCTCCAGGCTCCTGACTGCTCCCCGCCAGGCTCTTCTTTCCTGGTGCTTTTTCAAGCCCCATGTAGCCCAGCCTAGGGGTGGAGGAGCTGACAGGCCAGGGCTGGGACGAGGAGCTGGCAACTGAGGTGTCCTTCTAGGTGGGGCGGCGGCCCGGTCCCCACGCCTCCTCCTGCGTGGCAGCCCCCACTCCTCCCTCACCCGCGGAGCTAACAAGGAGATAATGGACTCGAATAGACAGATTGATTATGAGTCCAAACGAACGAGGCAGCTTTGAGCACACCGCCTGATAGCGTGCACACGCACCGGCCGCACAGCCTCCCCATCTCCATGGGTCCCAACAGCCTGAGACCTGCTGGCTGTGGCTGGGGGTTTCAGGTACAAGGTGGACCTGCCCTCCCCAGGCCTCGCCTCTGGGGACCGAGGCCCTGGGGCCTGGCTGTTCTTTTGGGGCCACCGCTGGGAGAGGAGATGGGTCCATTATGCCAGTCCTGGTTTTTCCTTATTTAGCCCTTATCCAGGGAAAGTCCAAAGATAGTGGGGTTTTCAGATCTGGCATGAGTCAGGGCCTCTGGTGTGCGTGTGTTGCACGCCAACATGCCACTGCAGGACAACGGGGTTCTCAGGAACCCTCTGGCTGCCACATCCAGGAACCAGGCTGGGCCAGCCCTCAGCACCCCACGCCTCCTTTTCTTTCTTTCTCTCCTCCCTCACTCCCCTGGCTCTGTCCTTACCTCTTTCCTTATCCGCCTTTCTCCTTGCCACCCTCTTTCTTTGCCTGTCTGTTCCTATTGCTTTCTTTTCCTTCATGTCTCACTCTGTTTCCTGCCCCCTTCCATTCAGCCTTCCCACGCCAGCCCTATAAGCCGGCCAGTCCTTGCTGCTCCTGCCCCACACCCTGTAGCTCCATCCTCCTGTTGCCCTTCTCCCCTTCCAGGGCTCTGCTGGCATAGGGAGGGTCTGGGGTTCTCTACCTGACAGCCTCTCTGCTTCCTGCCTGCTCTGTGAAAGCCCAGTGTGTGCAGAGGTTGCTGCTTGAGCAAGGGAAGGGGCTGGGGCTTTGCAGGGCCAGAGCAGGCTGGGCGTGGGTGCGGGCGCGTCTGTGTGTGTGAGATGAGCCCAGAGAATGGCCCCTGAGCGGGCACATTTGGGAGCACACACGTTTGTGGCCACGGGGCTTCCTCTGCCAGGGTGGAAGCAGGTGTTTCAGCATGGCCCCCACGGTGCAGCATGTGCAGGGAGGCCTGGTACAGAGGCAGAGCACCAAGCCTGGAAAGACTGGTGTGTGTGTGAGTGTGTGTGCATGTCTCCATGCATGTGCACGTGTGTGCAGTGGAGGTATTGTGAGCTTTGCCTACCTGTGTCCGTGTGTGAGGATGTGAGCCTGTGTCTGTGCACACACTTATCCCTGCGTGCATGTGGGCGGGTGTGAGTGTGCAGGAGCTGCAGCCTCCCTGAGCATATGTTTGTGTCTCTGTGTGCGTGTGCATCTTGGGCGTGTGTACAGTGTAAGAGATACGTATGTGTTCACATGCAGGAGGTTGTGAGACTGCATGTGGCAACTTGGGGGAGGTGTGCGCCTGCATACCCATGCATGCCTGTGTCTACGCATGTGGGTCTGTGTGAATAGTGCATATGTGTGTGCATGCATACAGACGTGCATTGTGGTTATGAGGGAGTTGGGGCACGAGGACTTCGATGACCTTCCTTATCCCCACAGTTATGTGGAGAACCAGCAACGCCTGCAGGATCTGGAGCGCCTCGACCTGCAGGGCCTGGGTGACCTGAGAGAGCTGTGAGGCGCTAGGGGCTGTGCGGGGTGGGGCTTGGGCCTGGACCCCGGGGGCCCAAAAGTTGGCTTGGGAGGACCTGAGAGGCTGGGGATCGGGGAGTTCGGGGGTCCTCAAGGCCCAGCTAGGCTTGGGCACTCAGTGACAAGCAGGGCTGCAGGTTCAGCCCTGGGAACGGGGGACCAGGATGGGCGGGGAGGGCGGGGCTCGGGACAGACAGCTGAGGACCAGGCTGATCACCGCCCCTCCCCAGCACCATCGTGAAGAGTGGCCTCCGTCACGTGGCACCGGAAGCCTTCCGTTTCACGCCTCAGCTCCGTCGCCTGTGAGTGTTGGGCTGGGGACACCCAGACTCGCCCCGCGAACGGGCCGGGCCCTCCCCAGGGAGGTGCCCTGAAGCAGGTGGAGAAACACCCCCACCCCCACTCCTCAGCACTCTCCCTCTGTCTCACATCCGCACACAGGCTGTCCCGCCTCCGGGGGCTCAGGTAGACACCCGTCCTCAGAGCCAGGTCTCAGACCAGCCAGCCACCCGCCCTGGCTCTCTGAGTCGCAGCTACTTCTCCCGGAGAGGACTGAGCGGGCTCGGGATGGCCAGGAGATAACCTTGGCTGGCTGGCAGTCCCTCCCTGGGCTGGAGGGGCCTGCGTTCACAGCGTGACGCTGCTGTCTACTCACTGGGTCCTGGGCCCTCAGGAAAGACCGTGTCATCCACGCCCACTTCTCAGTCTCCTGTACTGAGTCTTTACAGTCAGCTCGCTGCAGAGATCGTGCTGTCCCCCGTGTATAGCTGAGCATCCTGAGAACCAGCAGGGTCAGGTCTCTGTGCTAAGGTCACCGCCCCCAGGCAGGACAGAGGTCCAGCTGGCTCTTTCTGTCTCCACAGTGGTGATATCCCTGGTCTTTGTGCAAGGGACCTCTCCAGTCAGCCCTCACACACTAGGGCCACAGGGCAAGGAGATCAGGGCCTTTGCTCCAAGGAAGAGGGGTGCAGGAGCTGCAGCCAGCTGCAGGCGCAGAGCATAGGGCTCCCACGTTTCCTGC